CTTCGACAACAGTTGACGATTTTTGAAGTATGAATTCCGAAGATTTAGTATCCTTTTTAGTGTTTAAAAACACTTCTTAAATTCTTAAATATTATGGACATCAATGGTCTATTTTACACTTTAGTATATACCATATTTTTAAATACAGAGAATAAAAAATGCTGCCGACAAATTCAAGGAATCCCATCAACCGGATTATGAAGACAGGTTCATGAAGAATGCCGATGGAATCGAACGAGTGCATAATCATAATACTGCCTACCCCAAACTTAGAGACGAGTTGGACAGACGACGGTCCCTCACCAAGGTAAAGCGAAGCAAAAGGTATTCTTGTTTCCACTGCCGAAACATACACTAACTAACTTACGTTACAGAAAATATAGATTTCTATTTGACGTGGTCCAGACACACCTTTCGTTTCTTCTACATTCAAAATACGATATAAAGTCGGTTCCATGTCCTTAAACTCTAGTACCTATTTTAATTTCAGAGTTACGATTTGTATGGTACAAGTCCTTTCTAAACGTTCTTAGCCCATCTCAGTGATTTATAAACTAAAGAGATTTAAATTTATAGATCGGACTTTCGAAATTTCACTATAAACTTGAATAGTCGTAAACAATAAATGATATGTCTAGTGTAGTCGATTTCAGTGCTGACGTTAGTCTAATTTAGGGGTAGGGTGCTGAGCAGAAAAGGAGGTTACCATTTAAAAAAATATAAATAAAACATAGTAAATACAGTTTCACAGGTACTTTCTATGATAGGTACTATATCAGTTGTCAAGTTTAGTGCCATCTCGTGCATTGGCATGTAATAAAACATTTTACAAAATTACTAGCTGTTCCCATGCGGCTTATGAAATTATGAAAATTTTATTTTATTGTTTACATTTGTCAAACTATCAAAATGACATGACTTGATGAAAATCTGGCTTTCTTGATCTTGGCTACAACTTATGGTCTCTTTCCCACATTAATTTATCCAAAATATTTACCCCCTAAGTTCAATGGCGTGAAAATATGTAGCCTAGGTTTAGGGCTTTTTATTAAAAGAAGAATTATTCAAAAATATGCTGTAATTGACATCTTAGGCAACAAAGAAGGTGTGTTTACGCTTTATTATAATAGTATAGATAATAACCTCCATCACTTTTATAAAATAAACTAAACATATTATGACACCTATTGACAAAAAATTTTATGTAATTAATTATATTGACATGGGGTTTTGAGAGCGTTAAGATTATGTGAAAAATCTCAAGTGAAATGTCAACTGTGCCTTCTCTATATATTGTTTGAATCTCTGGTCGACACAGTTGTGTGAATTACAGTCTCACATAAGCTTGTTGATTCCCTCCGAAGGTGGTTGAAAAGACGGTGTAGAAAGCTCGGCAAGGTGCTAGTAATACTAAAACCCTAACACTATAGTAGATTGTAGCTACAATAACGAGTGCTTCTATTTCAGAACCGGGTTATGCAGAATGGAAGGTATTGTATTTTGTGTGACACAGATATAACAAAGAACGGACTTATTGGCAGACATGACAGCTGGTGAGCCTGTCGTTGTCTTTGTTAGAAATTGACTAAAACGATGATTCCTCCGATCGTGCATGTTTTTAACGCCTAGCCAAATTGTAAAGTTACTAGCTATTGCCCGCGACTTCGTCCGCGTGGTATTAGAAAACATACGAACTATATAAATAACAAAAAGCTACGTATCCCTCGGGAACCGGACCTTTCTCAGGGATGAACTTTATCCCATGTGTACTCCAGACTTTGTTTTATATCTGCGCCAAATTTCAATAAGATTTGTTGAACCGTTGCAAAATAATCGAGTAAATAAAAAAAAACTAAATTAATGAATCCCACGGGAACCGTAACTATTCCCGGGATAAAAAGTAGCCTATGTGTTCTTCCAGACTATGCTCTAAACCTGTGCCATATTTCATGGAGCAACCGTTTAGGCTACAAACGCTAACAAACATTCATCCATCCATCCATCTAAACTTTCGCATTTATCATACCCATACTTATATGATATTATAAATGCGAAAGTTTAGATGGATGGATGTTTGATAGAGTTTGTAGCCTAAACGGCTGAACGGATTTCAATGAAATTTGGTATAGATGCAGAGAATAGTCTGAAAGAACACATAGGCTATTCATTTTAAATTTTTTAATTCCACGCGAGCTGAGACGCGGACGAAAGCAAGTTGTTCATAAATTGACTTATTTGTATAGTATTTCGACAACATCAAAAGGTTACTCGATTTGAACGTCGATTTGTTCAAATTAAATTGCCACAACACGCCGCTTGTTGACTTTATCTGTATTTTGACTCTTTACAATTTGACTACGGACAAACGGGCCCCACGATAGGTCGGTGAAATATAGTTTCGTAACTCTCGAATAAACGGCCAGTTGGACTGAAAAATCTTCACTTTAGAAAAGCTGATAGGTTTGCTGATAGTAATTCCATTTGCCTTGTTATTATTTGATGTTGAAAAATATGGGGACTTTATTTTATGGTATTTAAAAGGAATAATTTACGTGATTTTCTCCTTGTTTCAGGTGGCAGTGCCCAATCTGCCAAATAAGCGTGATGGCACTCATAATATGTTTAATACTAGCGCTAGGGGTAAAGAATTGAAACGGAAAAAATCGAAAACTAAAAGAAAATACGAAAGGAAACCGAAAATAAAAATCGATAAAGTCAAAACAAAGACTATAACAAAACCGAAATGCAATCATAAAAAAGGTAACGTTCGAAATTTGAAATGCGTCTGTCAGTTGATAAAGGCGCGGAATAAGAAGGATGTGGAAAATTCTAGACGTCAGAAGAAAGATTTGAAGAAAAAGTATCAGAGTTTAGATATGGATTTGGATATTGAACAAAATATGTTTTTGAAAAACGATAAAAAAACAGATTCTAAAGAGGATTTGGGATACAAAGATCCTGATACCAGCGATCCATCGATTAGTACGTTTGCGAGTTTTCCATCGACAAATCACGAACCACAGATATAAAATACCAGAGATAATTTCTTATTTCTTTTAATAACGAATTCTACAGTACATGTTATTGTGCATTTTTGACTATTTTGATGTTTAAAAATTAAAGATTACGTTTTTATTAAGTATTTTAATATTGCAAAGACTTGATATTTTTTAATTTTTTCGTGCTAAACCAATTTAACTGTACAGTAGCACTGTAGTTAAACCTGAAGTGCGAAGCGGGTCTAATACATTAAAAAAATCAAACAATAAAATGGGAACCAACTGCAAGCACTACCTGTCGGATAAAAAAAGAATTATCAAAATCGGTCCATAAAAAAAACATAAAGACGAATCGAGTTCCTCCTTTTGAGAAGTCGGTCAAAAATAGGAATCAAATGACAACTCATTCATTTAAATAGATCTAGCCTCTACTACTGGGGCTAGTACGAAAATTTGCGAGATTGTATTCGTAACAGTAGTAGGTTTCTGCGGCGCCTCTACCGAATGTAAAACAACGCCAAATCTCATACAAAAGCTCAAATTATTATTACTTTTATGTCTGTGGAGAATTTTTATAATTATGTCCGTGATCAATTTCTAGTTCTATTTTGCCCACTCTTTTATACTAATACTCGCTGTTCACCTGCGACTTCATCCGCATGAAATTATGAAAATTTTATTTTATTGTTTACATGTGTCCTTGATGTTGGCAGCAATGGTCTCTTTCCCGCATTAGGGTTTTTACCCAAAATATTTACCCCCTAAGTTTAATGGCGTGGAAATACATAGCCTAAAGCGTGACGTAAGTGTATGGCTTTTCATTACAATAAGAATTATTCAAAAATATGCTGTAATTGCTGACATCTTAGGAAACAAAGAAGTGTGTGTTTACGCTTTATTATAATAGTATAGATTATAGGGAAAGATTTGTATTTGTGTATGTATTGAAATAACTAACTCA